GGAAGGTCTTCACTGTGTCTCTTGATGCACTGTCTCAAGGAAACTCCCTATATAACTCTGGGTCCTCTCACCCCCCCACCTCCCCCACCCCCACCCCAGTCTGCTTTCTATGGAGGGAAAGCAGAAAAACATTAGCTCCCAACGGCAGGTAGTACCAGAACTTGTTTGTGTTGCCTGCTTCCCTCTGACCTCAGTCCTGATGTTGGCTCCGGAGCCCAGATGAAGGTGTGTCCATGGCATTGACCTGATGATGCAGCTGCCCCGGCCCCCTCGCAGGCCCCTGTGTCCTGCAGTTTCTGCGTCAGTGCCCGTATTTGCAGGACCATTGGCCAAACCCTGAGCTGCCTGCTGCTCTTTGATCTGTAAACCTGAAGCCACGCCAGCCTGGCCTGAAGGCAGCTGCTCTGGAGCTTTGCAACCACATCCTGAGCCAAGGTCTCACCTAAGAAAAAACAGAGAGTCATTTTCTACAGAGTCAGGCAAGGGATGCACCCAGATGCTTCATCAAAAAACGGGGGGGGGGGGAGGAGGGGTCTGAGAAACGGGAACAACGGCCACCCTCCATTAAAAGGCAGGGACAAAAGTGACTGCTTTAATAGTGTCTGTCATTCCTGTGGATCAGTTTGATAAAGTTTATTTTAGGAAACAATTCCCAAAGGGTTTGAAAGCACTGGGTGGGATGGTAATTAGCCTTTCCAAAAATAAACTGTCAACATACCTAAAGAATTGTAAAATCAGGGTGTGGTGGCTCACACCTGCCATCCCAGTGCCGGGGAGGCAGAGACAAGGCATGGTGGGTTGGAGGACAGCTCGGGGTACTTGGGATGTTCAAAAACAAAAACAGAACTGTTTAAAAACTAAGACTCTGCTACAGAATATTCTAGATCAGAGCATATCATAAAAGATTCAGGAATATACAGATATTTAGTACAAGTTAAAGCGACTTTTAAAATTAGTTAGGAGAGTCTGGTGTGGTGGTACATGCCTTTAATCTCAGCGCTTGGAGGTAGGGGCAAGCAGACCAGGGCAGGCTGGTCTACAAGGCGAGTTCCAGGCCAACCAGGGCTGCATAGAGAAGCTCTGCTCTAAAATAATAATAATAATAATAATAATAATAATAATAATAATAATAATAATAATAATAAGGAGAGAGACACCCATTTCTGGCAATACTGAGAAGGATACCCTGGAAAACCTCCAGTTTCTGAAAACATCTAGAAATATTGGATAAAATACATATCTGAGTTCCTAAGGAGAAAAGTGAACACCGTGAGGGCCAAACAAGAAGGCACTGAGAACCTCTGCAAAGGTGAACTAGCTCCACCCCCTGGGAGAACTGTCCAGGGAGCGGGGTGGGACAAGCTGACGGTTTGTGTGCACAGGAGGGGAGCTGGACCAGGGCCTCGGACCATCCTTGTGGTCTCTTCTCCCTGCCGTCCGTCAGTCTCTGGACTGCAGTCCTGCTTCCAGAAAACCATCCCACAAACAACAGGAAGCATAAGATTTACCAATCTCTGTTGTACAGGATGTTCTGTTTGCTTTATTTGCAGTAGAAAATCTGAAAGTTTCCCCATGCGCAGCCAGAATGGGACAAACAAGTACTGTGTAGCCATCGAAAGAGAGGTTTCTGATGTTGTGGTACATTTCTGGGATCCTAGCATTCCAGAAGCTGAGGAGGGAGGACTGGGAGGTCAAGGTCAGCTTGGACTACAGAGACCCTGTCTCAAAAAAAAAAAAAAAAAAAAAAAAAGAATAAGCTTGATCTCTTTGTGCGATAATAGGAAAATGTTTATGTAACATATGAAAATTAAAAAACAGCTAGGCCATAAAATAGCTTTGTTCAAAAGAATAAAATGTACAACACATAGCAACTCCAAATTTTAGTAGAAATAATTTTAAAGATAGAGGGCATTAAAAAAGAGTGATGAAATTAATTTAAAAAAAATCTCTTTAGACTTATTTATTTGATTTTTGTCTATGGGTATTTCGCCTGTATGTATGAATGTGCCCCCCTCCCCCATGTGTGTGTCTGGTTCCCATGGAGGTCAGAAGAGGGTGTCAGATCTCTGGAACTGGGGTATGCATGCTTGTGACTTGTCCATGTAGCAAATGTAGGAAACACTTGCTAGCTGGAAGGCGCCACACATGCAGTGCCACACATGCAACGATACACATGCAACACCACACATGCAATGCCACATCTGCAACGGCACATGTGCAATGCCACAATGCAACACTACAGTGCAACGCCACACATGCAGCACCACACATGCAACGCCACACCTTTCAGGACTGTGTATCTGAGCTGTTAGAAGCAGGCAAACCCTTGTGGATACAAAGGCAACTGGTCGTTCCCAGCAGTAAAGAGGAAGGAGAGCGTGGCGGCTCCACGTCATGGGTTCCCTTTCGGGAGCTAAAGTGTCCTGGAATTAGACACTGGTGACAGCTGCACCAGACTATGAGTGTGCTAAAGAGAAATCACTGAATCTTACACTTTAAAAACCAGCCAAAGGTGCTGGGGATGGTGGCACACGCCTTTGATCCCAGCACTCAGGAGGCAGAGACAGAAAGATCTCTGTGAGTTCGAGGCCAGCCTGGTCTACATCGCCAGTTCCAGGACAGCCAGGGCTATATAATGAGACCATCTCCAAACAAAATTCAAACAGCAAAAAATTGTGTGATTTTATTTCTACTCCCCAGTGTTGCAGTTCCTGATGTTTTAGGTGGCTGCTGAGGACCCAGTATCAGGGCCTCATGCTTGTCAGTGGCCAACACGTCCTCAGCTGGGCCATATTCCAACTCTTCTTCCTCCTTTTGGCAGATTAAAGTTAAGTTCTTTCTAAATGGAAGGGATTAGATGCCCCTCTTTGCCTGATGTCTCTGTTTCTCCCCTGGAAAGCCAACGTGGCATCTGCCTGCCTCACGGCATGGGGAAGAGGATGGCTGCACCAGATATGGATGGCTGAGATATGGAAAGACCAGGCAAACCAGGGATGTTCTGCACCGCTGGGGTGCGGATCACTGCCACTTAGATGGGGTGGACTGAGCTTGTGTCCCAACAAACAAACAGGGCCTGTGTCTGCGAAGTGACTAAGTCTTGCTATGTTTAACCTCTGAATTGGTGACATTTTTCATAAATTAGCAGGGTGTTGCTGGAATTCTGCTTGGACGTTCTTGCCCCTTTTTTCTGACGCTAGGTATCTACAGTTACTTTCCACTGTGTATTTTTATTTTTATTTATTTATTTATTTTTGTACAAGGATGAACCAAGGTAAGCGCTGTACCACTAGCCTCTCCTACCTTATCTTTTGAGACAGAGTGTCTCACTGCACCTGAAGCTCACCCACTGAGATAGACTAGCGGGCCATAACATCCCAGGGATCCCCCGTCTCTGTCCTCACAGCATTGGGAATACAGACACTCACCACCACGTCTAACTTTTATGTGAGTTTTGGGGATCCGAACTCAGGTCCTCATGCTTGCAGAACAGTTGCTTTACAGACAGAGCTATTTCCATCACCCCTACTCTACTCCGGTTTTTGTGGCTGCCCTTGATGGGTTATCCTCTCATTAACTTTACAGGAAGTAAAGGAAGGAGATTGTTGTTTGAGAATTGGACCTATGCTTTGACTCTTGAAGGAGGTGACTAAGGATAGCCCCTTCTCCAGGCAAAGAAAAGTCGAGGACCGACAGAAAGGTCAGCAAGCTTTTAAATGAGAGGGAGCTAAACTTTAGAAAGGCAAGGTGCGCACACCAGGGAAGATTCTGCTGGCTTGCTGTAGATTTTATTGGAGGTTATGGTGATGTGTGCCTTTGGGCGCTAGAGCTCTGCTGTGCCGGGGGTGATGTGAGCCTTGTGCATTTAAAGCACACTCCACTTGTTGAGGCTCATTACAGAAAGTGGACGTTATAGACCTGCACGGTGTGATGGCTGAAGCACTAGACACGCACAGAGAAGCTACTAAGGAAGCCACCAGTCCCTGCACCTCTTGTGGGTAGTATTAGAGCTGCTGTCTGTGCGTGTTGGAGAAGCAGGGAGCATGCGTGGCTGGGGAATCAGACTATGCGCTTTAGTTTGGAAGAAAGATCCCGCTACGATTGTTGTTGGTTCCTTCGTTAACTTTGTGATGTTATAAGCTGTTCTGGGAATTTGCCATTGTTTAATGAAGAAAACAGTACTTGGAAATTCTCTCCCTTCCACTCAGATACCCAACCCACTGAACACTGGAACAATTTTGCACACCTAATGAAGAGAAAGCTGCAGAGATTTTGGCTACCTTTGTTTCTTGATTGATTATTAATTTATTTTAACTGCCCAGTTTGTTCTATCTAACAGGAGTCCAAAACCCTGTGCCCCGTGATAGGCTAAGTAAAGGGAATTAAAGCACAGGGAAAAATAGGTAGTAGTAGCAATAATAATAATGCACATTATTGAACAAGCTGGAGAGTACAATTCTGTCTGTGCTTTGGAACTTTATTATGTGTGTGTGTATGTATTTCTAGTTATCTATCCATATACCTATCTATTCTGGTACACTGATGAGATTTTTATTTGGTTTTTACTGGAAGTGTAGTTGAGTTTTTGTGAGGATTACAGCTGTCCATGGCAAATCATACATATGGTAGATAAATAGTCAACCAAGCCCTTATCATTGCCTCTGTCCAGGAGTGAGAGTAGAGTGTACCAGGAGAGGGCACCTGAAGGACCCTCATTTTTAGTCAATGGATGGCCATACTGTGAATAGTTTCCACCACAAAAAAGGACGACGAAGTTATTTACTGATATCCACAGTGTTTACATCTCACCAATTGACCAGAAAGAGTTAAGAATTCCAGCTACTTGAGGAGATGATAAGTCCCAGATTGGATGATGACCAAGGGTTGGGGTGAGAAACAGCAGAGTGTGTTGGGGGAGGTTCAGAGGAGGGCTTAGTTCTCACTCTCAGCCAATGGCACAAGGGCTTCAGGCCCAACGCCCATTGGCTGAAACTATTTCAAGGGTCAGGTTTGTACCTGAACTCATGGTCACAGGACTTGGTGGAGGAGCACTCGTGAGCTCACAGGTTTGGTGCCTGAAGGCTGCTTTGCTCAGACGTGGAAGGTAATTCCCAAGGTCCTCTGGGCTGGGATGGTGATTGGGACATTCCTGCCTTTCTTTCTGATGTTCTGCCTCGTCCTGTCCAGGGCTGAGATGCTTATCTGACATGGTTTTACTTTAACTGGCATCAATATTCATATCTCTCTCTCTCTCTCTCTCTCTCTCTCTCTCTCTCTCTCTCTCTTTCTCTCAATGGTCTTAGGGTTTGAACACTGGTTGTTGAGCAAGCGCTCCACACTGAGATATTACTACCTTAGTTTTATAAAGTTTCTCAGACAGGGTCTTGCCAAGCTGCCAAGGTTGAAGTAATTACTGGGAAGACCCTTTGTTGGGGGGGGGGGGCAGTGTCTCTGTGGACAGATGGTCCCCGACATGCTTTGATTAAAACTTCCTTGGCTTGTCTTAGAGCATGGGCATTGGGGTGGCCTACAGAGGAACCCCACTTATTCATAACTGGGAAGATGACGTCGCAGGGAAAGGCACTCGTCACCTAAGATGAAAACTTGATTTCAGATCTCTAGGACCCATGTGAAGTTATATATGTCAGCACCCATCTGTAATCCCAGAACCCACAGCGAGGTGTGGCAGAGACCCTGCCTCAGACAAGGTGTGAGGTGAGGACTGACGCCCGGGGCTGTCGTCTGACCTTCGCACATTGCAGTGGCACGTGCTGGTCTTTACTGGCACACGTGCAGGCTCTCCTACTCTCACACAAAAGGCAAGAGAAAAGCCCCACCTGTCACAGACAAATTAAATGTGAATAAATAAGTGCTTCCTGCTATTTTGTAAGATGGGTTGTTACCCTATTTTCCATCTCCCATTTACAGCAAAGCTAACCTGCAAGTGGAAGTCTGTACAGAGTTAGCAAGATGCATCTGCGAAGTCACCCCTCACCCCACTTAGGTCCATAGCTCCCCGTTCCACGGTGCCCTGCTTTCGTCATCAGGGCGATGTGTTTCTTTTTCCTATAGGCTTTGCGAGTCATGGACCGCTACGTGATCCAGACAAATAACAGTGCCAGCCTGCCTTCAGTTCTGGATGTGCATGTCAATATTGGTGGGAGAAGCTCGGGGCAGGGAAAAATGAAAGGCAGGAAGGCCAGGTGGAATGTAAGGCCCTCCGACATGTCCAATAACACTTTTAATCCCATCCGGGCCATCGTGGACAACATGAAGGTGAAGCCCAATCCAAACAAAACCGTGATCTCGCTGTCAATCGGTGAGTTTGGTCTGCTTGATGGAGGGTTGGCATTGCCCTCCCACCTCCCATCCTCTTGGGCTGTCGGGAAGAGAGGAGAGGAGACCCAAACACAGGGATGTAAACTCTAGTGGTTCTTTCGCTTTCCTCTTCCATGAACAGGTGACCCTACTGTGTTTGGAAACCTGCCTACAGACCCTGAGGTTACCCAAGCCATGAAAGATGCCCTGGACTCAGGGAAATACAATGGCTATGCCCCATCCATTGGTAAGCCTGCCCAGAGACAGCCCTGGTAGCTTCAAAATCTGTAGTGCTTTTTCTTGTTTTGTCCTGGTTTTGATCATTGCTACATAACACAGTCTGACCTCAAACTAGTGATCCTCCTGCTTTAGCTGTTCAAGAACTTGGGTTATAGGCATGTGCTACCATGATTGGCTTTTAAACTTATTTGTGTGTGTGTCATGTATAGAGACAGAGAGAAACAGAGGGGACAGAGGTAAGAGAGAGAGAGAGAGAGAGAGAGAGAGAGAGAGAGAGAGAGAGCGAGAGAGCGAGCAATGGTGTGTGTGTTAGTCAGAGAACTATGGGAATTGGTTTTGTATTTCCATCATGTGTGTCCAAAGGCTTGAACTCGGGGTTGCCAAACTTGGCAACAAGTTCCTTTACCTGCTGAGTCCTCTCACCGGCCCTCTTTCATGATTTTTGAACAGTATTCCACCTATAGTAATTGCTTCTGATTTCCTGATTCATGATTCTGAAGAGCCCAAGATGAAACAGCCCTTTAGATTTAGAGAAGGCCCCCACGGTGGATTCTTAAATGCAGCTACTGAGGTCTAATTTCTTTCCTGATTCTGTCTGCTTGCTGGACTCTCCCCATTAGGTGCTCAAACATAGTCATTCCTCAAGCAGTTCTGCCCATCTTTGCCATGAAGGCCTGAGCGAGTCCGGCTGGCACTCAGTCCTCTGGGCTCTACATTTATTTATACTTGGCCCCTATAAATAGCTCCTTTGTTTCTTTGTGGGTTGAAGCTATGCTTTCATCCCAGCCTTGATCTCTTTGACATGCATTTTTAAGCGTGTAAGAGGGGACATAAGAAAGAATGGCTGTTACGTTGGGGACAGGAGTTATTCCCGAGAGCTGAACACTTTCCCATTTAGGGAAACTCCACCTGTCCAAATGTCTCTTCTAAAGATTTTGGTAAAATAAATAATTCCTTGACTTTATTTGCACGTTGTGTATCTTCCCCTGGGTGTGGTGTACACTGAACTATTCCTATATGCAGAATAAGAAAACAGCAGCGTAGTTTCATACTGCTATCAGATTCAAAGCTTTTCCAAGAGGAATCAGGGACAGGGCTATTATTATTATTATTATTATTATTATTATTATTATTATTATTGACAGAGTTTCTCTGTGTAGTTCTGGCTGTCCTGGAACTCACTCCATAGACTAGGATGGCCTCGAACTTGAACTGAGAGAGATCAGTCTGCCTCTGCCTCCTGAGTGTTGGGATTAAAGGTGTGCACCACCACTGCGCAGCTGAGACATGCCTTTAGGTGGATTGCTTACATATTAGAAAGTTGCACAAAAACCAATCGGATTCAAGACTCACTATTAGGTCACAAAAATATTATAATGAGGGCCAGTGAGATGTCTTAGTGGGTAAAAGTGCTCGCTGCTAAGCCTAACGATCTGAGTTCAATCCCCAGAACCCACATGACAGAAGGAGAGAGCCGACTCCACAGAGTTGTCCTCCGACTGCCACACATGTGCTTTGATATGTGCACACCCCACACTACACAAATAAATACCTTTATTATCCAAAGTAATTGAGCTTGGAAGCTGGACTCAAGCCTTCATCTGAGAAGTGCTGATAGGGTCTGAGCACTGCACAGCGAAGGAGCGGAGCTGATGGTGCTCTCAAGGAATACGCTCTCCCTGGAGACCACCTATTTTCCATTAATAAAGTAGGAAATGTTGATCAATGTCACTTGAAAGAACCATTGGTGTATCTTAAATTAAAGAAGATGAATACAGTCTGTATCTTTGCTAACTTGTCTTTTGGAAAGCAGTTTTGTAAAACATTATATAATAGGTTTGAAACTGCCAATACAGTAAGCCTGCAAGCCGCATTGGGAATGTTCTAGAAGAGAACCCTTGTATGAAGATACTATAAGTATATCATATAAGATAAAACACTGAAATTGGATCATATGCATTGAAACTGTTGGTGGCATTTTAAAAAAAATAGACCCCATATAAAGGGATCAGGAATAATTTAAACCCTTGTTTACAGCACCATAAAATGCAATCATAGTAGGCTAGATTGTGTATTTTATGGTTTGTGAACTGCTTCTTGTTGTCGTCATAGATTTGTACTTTTCATAATGCTGCCACATATCAAGTTAATTCCCTGTGCATATGGTGACTGGGCACACAGAATAAACTGGCCCCAAGCAAGAACAGGATGCAGCTGGCAGCAGTGTTTGGGGCACGACTGTCACTCAAGGGTGGGAAACCACCAGCTTCCTCTCCCCTGTCGTTTCAGGCTACCTGTCCAGTCGGGAGGAGGTCGCTTCCTATTATCACTGTGCTGAGGCTCCCCTGGAAGCTAAGGTGAGCCGGGATACCAGCCTCGAGGCCACGGAGCGCAAGCAGACTCCTTGCTTCTATCCCACAAGGAGTGGTGATTTGAACTTCATACATCAGTAATTGTGACTAATGTCACCACAGTGTAAGAGGTGTCTCCTACCACTGATGAAGTATTGTCACCGAGTCTCAAAGGACCCCCAAATCATCCTAGACTTTATTTCCTTCAGAAGATCATTGAGAAACTATTCAGAAATAGCGAATAACTTAATTTCAAAGAATTTATCATTAGGATGTGTTTAAGTATGTGTCTTCCTTCACTCATTTTAGGGCATTGAGGGAGAACGCTAGGGATCTCATGGCAACCGAGTGCCGTGCTTTAGGTGATGCCCAATAAGAGGATTGTCTGCTTTCTCATCAAAGAGATGTCTTTTATCTGGGTTCAGAGAGAAGTCAGGCTTCAAGTCTGCCATCAAAAGTAAATAAATAACTTGGTGAAAAGTAGTCCAAGGTCAATCGAAGATCTCCCTTGAAAGTTGGTTGACTCATAGCCAGCTTGTTCTTTTTAAATAGATTTGTTTACTTTTTTAAAGTGGCCATCATTTGCAACAACATTTAGAGATACATAAGAGATGGGTATTAGGAAGACAGACACATGCACATGATAGATGATAGATAGATAGATGATAGATTTGGTTTGGGCTCAGCACGACCTTTCCTATTTTCTTGGCGCTTTTTGAAGTAAGTTAATCATTGCTTCCAAGTCCACCCTTCTCCTTTCTTTGCAGGACGTCATTCTGACAAGTGGCTGCAGTCAGGCTATCGAGCTCTGTTTAGCTGTGTTGGCCAATCCAGGACAAAACATCCTTATTCCGAGACCCGGGTTTTCCCTCTATAGGACTTTGGCTGAATCTATGGGGATTGAGGTCAAGCTCTACAATCTACTGGTAATCGACTTTTGACTTTTTAAAAATGTTTATTTTATCTTGAATGTATGAGAATTTTGTCTGTGTGGCACTTGTGGGCCTGCTGGAAGAGGGGGGTTAAAGCCCCTAGAACTGAAGCTACAAATGGTTGTGAGCCATCATGTGGGTGCTGGGAATTGAACCTGGGTCCTTTGCAAGCACAGCAAGTACTCTTCACCCTTGAGTCATCTCTCCAGGCTCTGACTTTTAATTTTTGATTCAAGTGCTCAGTTACTACTCTGTAAAAAAAAAAAAAGAAAGAAAGAAATGATTCAAAGGCAGAGTTTATTCTTTTAAAAATTATGCTTATTTGTTTTGTATGTATGTTTCTGTGCATGCATGGAGCAGTGAGCTTGGTGTGTGCAAGCAATGGCACATGTGTAGAGGTCTAAGAACACGTTTCAGGAGTCAGTTCTTTCCTTCCATCACGTGGGGCGTGGGGATGGAACTCAGGTGATCAGGCTTAGTGGCATTTACCGGCTGAGCCATCTCACCGGCTCTTACTCTAGTCTTTATACTAAACCCTTGGGTAGAGTATTCCGCCTAAATTTTTCAGAAACATCCTAGTCTCACTCTTTTTTTTTTTTTTCTCAGCCTGAGAAGTCTTGGGAAATTGACCTAAAACAACTGGAATCTCTGATTGATGACAAGACGGCTTGTCTCGTCGTCAACAACCCCTCAAATCCCTGTGGTTCCGTGTTCAGTAAGAGGCACCTTCAGAAGATACTGGCAGGTAAGCGCCAAAGGCCCCTGCACGGGGGAAGAAGTGAGAGCGGAATCCTTAGCTGTCGTCCTGAGCCTGGGATGGAGGTGGAGAAATGCCAGCCCCAGCTCTAGTCAATGGCGTGTCATGGACACCAGGGCTGGTTTAAAAGGGGGAAATGAGAAATACAGGGTGCACATCCCTAATCCCCAAATGGCAAGCATTCCACTTTGGTGCATTTGGCATTTTCAGATAAGAAACGTTCAAATGGCAAGTCTGTATAAATATGCCCAAATCCTTCTTTTTAAAACCCGAAACAAAAACAAACAAACAAACAACCCCCCTGACGAATCATAACAATAAAACCCCCGTCCCAGGCTTCTTAGTTAAGAGGCCGTTCACCCGTATTTGCCTTCGCTACCGCCACGTGGAAGAGAGAGTCTGAAATACGTGGTTAAACGGCAGAGTTAGGCTAACATCCTGGAAGAATGCCAGATGTATTTAGTGCCTAAGAGGACGGTCAGAACCACAAGCTTAGAATGCAGACCCCAGAGGCCTAGGTATGAAGAAATGACGAGATCGTTCAAACTGAAAATGATTCCAGCATGGTTTATTTATTTATTTTTTTCTAATTTTCAGTGGCTGAAAGGCAATGTGTCCCTATCTTAGCTGATGAGATCTATGGTGACATGGTAAGTCCAGGGTGGGTTATAACACTATAGGAGTGCCAGTGCCATTTTGTTTGATGGGGCGTCTAGAGTTAGCTAATGGAATCTCTGGAAGTTGTGTACAGCCCTCTCTTCAAATGCACAGATCACGTCTCCTTAGCTCATTGGCTGTTCGCTTATTTAATTCAAAGAACTGGGGAATCCCTAACGTTGGGATTTACTTGAATATAGATGCCAAGTTGCTAGGATATAAAGGTCTTTGTAGGTTTCTTGTTTATAGATGTGTGTTTGTAAGAGTTGGTGGGGGGGGCGGTCCTCAAAATGTAACCCATGCCTAGGCCATGCTTGAGTCTGGGTCCAATTCCCAGCATCAGAAATTAAAAAAAAAAAGGTGCTGATGAAGAGGGAGGACTATTGTATTACTGACTGGGGAATATTATTCTAGACTGCCTTGGAAATATTACACATGACAAATGTGCTGTGTGGTCTTTTAATCCATCCCAAAGGCTGAGTTCTGCAACATAGTTTGGCCCAGGAATGTTAGATATTGGACTATTTTTTATTACCTTTTATTTTTAAATCTACAACTCCACCAGCCCTAATTCCACAGTGCCGATTTTCAGAAGTTGTACATACTATTCGATTAGCGCCTCTGTACTCATTTTAGGTTTCCTTTAATCCAGACCACGCACCAAACTGTCTTGGATAAGTTTTCCGGAACCACGTGGGATCCAGTCATGCCTGAGGGTGGGAAGGGGCCTGACGATTTTTTTTTTCTCTGTCCCTCGACGTCTAAGGAGGGGAATGGAAGGCTCAAGGTCCAGAACATTCAAGAGCTCCTCTTTTCCTCAGGTGTTTTCCGATGGCAAATACGAACCCCTGGCCACCCTCAGCACCAATGTCCCTATCCTGTCCTGTGGTGGGTTGGCCAAGCGCTGGCTGGTTCCTGGCTGGAGGTTGGGCTGGATCCTCATCCATGATCGAAGAGACATTTTTGGCAACGAGGTGAGAACAATACGGTAAAATGGCATGAGCAATTTCGTGTTTGTATGGGTTGAACACTCAGTGTTGCGGAGGTAGGGTTTCCTCCCCCTCCTGACAGTATTGCTCACAGTGCCTGGGAACGTGATGAATATTCCTCATCCAAACCCATTGTCACAAGTTTGGGTCTCTGGGTCTGTGAAGAAATTTCATCGGCCTCCAATGTTAAGACTCTGGAAGGGCGGACATTCACCGTAGTGAAAGCACTATTGCTCATGTGTTATGGACCCTATTTTTATTTTGTCTTCATGACACCCTCTGAGACCATTTTACAGTCAAGAAAAGCAGGGTGCAGAGGAGTTACAACATCTGCCCACAGTTACATGCAGGTTTGTGACAGAGTTGGACTGTAGACGCAGGTGGTGTAATGTTAGAGGGTCCCTAGGGACCTTCCCTTCCAGAGATTAAAATCCTGACGGAACGGTCAGAATAGAGCCACCACACAGGGGTGTTTTAAAAGGGCTAAAGTGTTGTTTCCTGGGGATTCTAGATTCGAGATGGGCTGGTGAAGCTGAGCCAGAGGATCCTGGGGCCGTGCACCATTGTTCAGGGGGCCCTGAAGAGTATCCTTCAGCGGACCCCTCAGGAGTTCTACCACGACACTTTAAGCTTCCTTAAGGTAAAACGGCAGCTGGGAGCCTTCCACTTGAGGAATGTGGGACCAGAGAACACATCAGTGGAACAAGGAATAAGCTTCCCTAATTTCCGTTCCAATGTGGGGCGTCAATGTCATTTTCCATAGGCACAGTCTTCTCACTTCCTGTAATTCACTCTGTCTTGCTAAGAACTTGAAGTGAGGGGGTTTGGTCCTGTTAATCTCTTTGTGCCTTCAATGAAGGTTCTACCTTCAATGATGATTTTATTTCTTTTTTAAAAAATAGCTTTATTATACAAAAATTTACATGTAAAAGTCATGCTTTTCTTTTACTTAAACTTTGATCCTTGGTTTTTTTCTTTCTGCCCCTTCTTGTAGTCGAATGCAGAACTCTGCTATGGGGCATTGGCTGCCATTCCTGGACTCCAGCCAGTTCGCCCTTCTGGAGCCATGTACCTTATGGTAAGTGTGTGGGGTGTGTGTGTGTGTGTGTGTGTGTATGTTGTGTGTGTGGTGTGGTGTGTGCATGCATGTGTGTATGTGTGTTTGTTGTGTGTGTGGTATAGTGTGTGTTGAGTTGTATGTGTATGTTGTGTGTATGTATGCATGTGTGTTGAGTTGTGTGTGTAGTGTGTGTATGCACAGAAGTGATAAAGCACAGGAGACTGGCTTGGCAGGATTGTCATGGGTGGCCAAGCAGGGCATGCCTCCATCTACAAAGACAAAGGCACCGGTCCCCATCATTTGAGGAACTGCTTTGTTATGAATTATCCTAGTGCTTTGATTTAACCTGTGCTCACAAAACTCTCCCAACAACCAGTACAGCCACCATCTCATGCATAGATAAAGGACATGCTTTGTGTCTCACGGCTGAGAGTGATGTTGGCTCGTTCAGAGACAGGGGGACCACATAGGGATTTTGTAGCCCGGGGATGCTAAATATCCTGTAATTGATGGGGTCGACCCAACAAAGTAAAAAATTACTTGGTCCTAAGGCTAACTTTACCTCTTTTGAGAAAAGAAAAATGGCATTTCTTTTTCTATCTTTATTTATCAACATCCAGGAAGGAACCTTCCGATAAACTCCAACACAAACATGCCCTCTCCTCCCAGCGAGGAGCTCCTGAGTTCTGAGTGGTGATGTTCTTAGTTATGGGCAGGAGAGCTCCCAGGCAGCTTTCAAGGAGCCCCTGCTCTCATTTCTGGCACAGGAAGCTGGCCTGTGTTCCTCTGGTGACACGCTGGTCTCCCTGCTCTCATTGGTACAGGTTGGAATTGAGATGGAACATTTCCCAGAGTTTGAGAATGATGTGGAGTTCACAGAGCGGTTATTTGCCGAGCAGTCTGTCCACTGCCTCCCAGCGACGGTGAGTGCCGTGTCTCCGGACCCCGGAGGTCTTCCTGAGCTATGTTTTAGCCTAACCTGCTCTTCCATGCCAACTGTTCTCATTTGATAAGATTCCATCATTATCCCCCCAGTAACAGGAAAATGAGTCAGAAACACTACTGTGGGTGGGAGGAGAACAGTTTATTTTAAGACAAAGTCACCCGGTGGCTGACTCGGCAATCCAGGCATGGGTGTGGAGCAAACTGACTCCCCTGATGTAATGGGTCTTGCAGACTAGAGGCCTGGCTACGCTAGGGTGAGCCAGGATCAGATTCAGTTGCCCTGGAGATAACAAGTCCTTGTTTTCGCAGTGCTTCGAGTACCCAAATTTCTTCCGAGTTGTCATCACGGTCCCCGAGGTGATGATGCTGGAGGCTTGTAGCCGGATCCAGGAGTTCTGTGAACAGCACTACCACTGTGCTGAGGGCAGTCAGGAGGAGTGTGACAAATGACGTGTGCCCGCACACATTCTCCTGAAGACGTGCGCCCTCACGCATCCTCCTGAAGACGTGTGCCCTCACGCATCCTCCTGAAGATGCGTCCCATCCAAAGAGGGCTGCACTGGGCTGTTCCCCCTCAGGGAGTCAGGTGTCCAACCAGTCACATCCTACACATACCCGGAACCCCAAATTCTCCCCTCACTCGACTCTGCTGGAGGGACCCAGGAGTTCATTGCACGCCCCCCCCCCCTTCCCCAGTTTTATAGCTTCCTTATCCTGAGAGCACCGGGCAAGCAGGTTTACCAGAAAGAAGGTGGGACAAGAAAAGTGAGAGGTCAGGATGGGAGAACCAGGATGACTCCCACGCTGTCAGGAGCATCCTCTCCACCGGGGTCCCAGGTCACCTCTGGGGCTGCCTCACTTCAGACTCGCCTAGCACTCTTTGCTGTAGAGCTACACTGGGAGGAATGTGAGTTCGGTTAATTGTCTTCTCAGCACCTCAGCACACTAGCAAACTATTTAAAGGGTCCTTGGCAGAAGGTGTTTCTTTTTTTTTTTTTTTTTGTAAAGAATTATTTTGCGGCGCCAATAAATGCCAGCTTCCTAACCGATTGGCTTCCTAAGTTTAGCTTCACTTACATCAGGTTTTCTCAAAAACAGGAAGACACCTCACTGTGGGAGAAAGAAGGGGTGACAGCGCTCGCCACAGACACTGCTGTGTGCAGGCCGGCACCCTCCTCGGAGCCCTCTTGTAGAGGCGTTGTCACGTCTGCTGTCATGTGAATGTTGATTTATTAATATTTGTTATATTATCTTTTCGTATATTTTCTAAGAAACATTTATATTATTAGATCTTTTATTTTGTCAAGGGCATAAATTATTATTTTCTTTTTTAAAATAAATTTTATCAAGTATGCGTCTCTGTGACATGTTTTCTCCGGGGGGTGGGGTTCCGGTCCCAAGGATGAGTCCAGTCAGTCTGTTACCCGTTAGGTGTCTGTAGTAGTGCTTTCCTCACCGCTGGAACTAAACACCTGACCTAAGCCGCTCAAGGAGTGGAGGGTTTATTCTGCCTCTCGGTTCCAGGGGGATGCCATCCGTCCTGGGGGCGGGGCGGTGGTGAGAGAGGAACGCTTGCTGTGCTCAGTTCGATTTCTCCTTTGGATTCATTCCAGGGCCCCGGCCCACGGAATGTTGCTGTATTAGGATGCCTGTTTCCACTCAGCTACCCTACCCTATGAAATCCCTCGCAGCCATGCTCCTGCGCTGTTCTCCCGCGTTATTCCAGACTGTGTTAAATTGGCCATCAATACCAACTATTCTAGCATCATCTATTTCTTTGTAGACATACTGATTCTGGAAGTTACAAAACAAACCCTATCTTCATTTACAAACAAACATTTCGTAGGTCTTTGACACCACACGCCGAGCTATCCTTGCCTGGATCCTCGGGCCACTCAGTGGGGGAACAACTTGGAGCGAGTTTCACTTGACCTGCCAGTGAGGGGTGCTGGATCTTTTGGGTCTTTCAGCACTGTCTGCAAATGCTATCAGGTGCAGTTACCTGTTTACAGGTTTTCTTCAATATCTCTGCTAGAGAAGTGTGTGTGTGTGTGTGTGTGTGTGTGTGTATGTGTGTGTGTGAGTCTTGCAAGGTTGGCCTGGAGCCATGTTAGACTATTACGGTCTGGAGATAGCTTACCAAGGCAAGTAAGTCTTAATTAGAAGAGAGACTTAGGAGCTCAACCAGCTACACCCAAAGGATTAAATTTACAAAATATAAACACCACCACCTCCCAACCTATGTTTCAGTTCAGTGAACTCCCAGAAAATTTATGTCTTAATTTTTCCCTATCACATCCAAGATGAAGGGACATACGATGACATTGGTTTTCTGTATGCCACCACTGTGGACAGCTTTGTTTTTTTTAAACTTTATTTATGTGCATTGGTGTGAAGGTGTCAGATCTCGTGGAACTGCATTTTCAGACAGCTGTGAGCTGCCATGCAGGTGCTGGGAATTGAACCCAGGTCCTCTGGAAGAGCAGTCAGTGCTCTTAACCGCTGAGCCATCTCTCCAGCCCCCACTGTGGACATCTTCCAAAAATGTCTGGCTCCTCTTTTCCTGTCTCCTGTCCCCAAAGAAATAAACAGGAAGATGGTGCTTTACACAAGATGTTTAGCTTCTCCGGCATAGATGGTTCCACCCAGAGCTACTCACAGGATTCTGCCCAGACCCTGCAGTTCCAGTTTCTTTGGTCTGCATGTTGGTAAATGAACCAGATGAACAGTCAGGCATCTTGAGGGGGAAATGACAGGGGATGTAGCTCAATGGTACAGCCCTTGGCGAGTAGGTGCAGGACCCTGGGTTCATCCCTCCCATTGTGATGGGGGTGGGAGTACAGGGTTGGGGGAAAGACGGGGTGGGGGGTGGTGAGGGATGTATGCACATTGGACAAATGTCAAATGACACATACAAACATTCCGTGTTTCATACAAAGGCCCTGTCCTTCAGCTGCTCAGTTTCTTCTCTGGTGGGGAAATGAGTATTTAGTGGTCCACACTTGAGAATTATTCAGAGCAGATGTAAGTGGCTGCGTGTGCTTAGGTAGACAGAAGTTCCCCTTTAAAAACCAAATGACTTAACTTTACTCCTGAGCTCTGTCTAGGTCGAAGGAGGGTTGACACGTCTGAAGTATTCCTCACGGCCCCAGTGTCTCTAAAAACCCTACCCCGTCCCCAAGCTTAACACTCTGGAAAGATGCTTTTCTGCCTAGTAGTGTCCAAGAGTCTCCGAAATCACAATCTGGATAAGAAGGTGGGGGACAAGGGCTGCAAGTTGTGGCTTCACCTCACCCAGTTTGACAGGCCCGGACCAGGATGAGGTGGCACGAAGTGATCCAAACTTCATCTTTAGTTCTCAACTCCCCAGCCTGGAAAACTCAATGCGCAGGCGCAGATGGACGGCCCTATGGGGCGGGGCTAAAGGCCACTGTAGGTGATCTGGGAGCAAGCTTCGAGAGTAGCTCTGGTTTTTCCTCCGTTCTGTTCGCACCTTCAGTTTGAACTTGACCCCGCTGCCCAGTGTGATATTCTTTTCCTCTTGTATGCTTTCAGGTTTCAAGAATTTGACAAGTCATCCCTGGGCATCAAAATCATTGGTGAGCATAATATAGGGTTATTTATTTAGGGGTAGATGCACAGATCATAATCCTCTGCTGGAACAGGGCACAGCAACCTAATCCTGCAGCCAGAAAACAGGCCGGGCACATGTTTTATATCAGCATATATAGTATAAGAGACCACACCCCAAAAAAAGAGACCACACCCAAGTGGGCTGGTATCTTAAAGGCTACTGGCAGTAGAAATTTCTACTGCACCTCCCCCTTTTGTTTAAACAAAAACGTTCAAAGCCTAATACAAAGTTATATACAATAAGAACAAATATCAGGTATAAAAATTAGAATTACAACCAGCATAACCAATATTAAGAAAAGTGATAAATGTCTCAATAATTATCCTATCCTAATGAGTTTAAGTCTTGTATAATAAATCACTTGGCCAAGTCATGAGAGGAAAGTAACTATGTATCTAGTCTTCAACCTGAGAAGGGAAATAATATTACTTGAGTAAGCAGAAAGTGCAATCAAGCAACTTCCAAAATGTGTAACAAATGACAGAGACAACTGGCTACATGGGTAATCACCTGAAGTCTCATTTGCAACATTGGAGCAACCAACTTTGGCTAAGGCCTAGAGTAACAGACAGACCATTTTCAGAGGCAGAAAATTCTGAGCTAGTGTGGGATTTAAGTGTCCATCTTCACTGGGAAAGGAATAATCAGTTTTCTTCAGTGAGATGGCCTATGTTTGGTGGCTGATACTCCAGCTGATATTGGCCTTAACCCATGAATTTGCAGAGAAAAAGGAAAAGGCCCAGGCAGATTTAGAGAGGATGAGTAGGAAGAGGATACGATGTAAAAATATTGTTTTCATGTATAAAATTGTCAAAGAGTAAATAAAAAGATTATTAAAATTTGCATGGAAAAAAACAAAAAAAAAATCATTGGTGAGCATTTCCAGCTCCAGGCCAGTCCCACCAGATGTGAAGCAGAGTGGGAGGTTAGCTGGTGTAGAAAGTGTAGACCTTTGGAACGTGTCTTCAAAGAATGGCGCCCTTCATGGTCCTGCGCATCCTGCTGGAAAAATGAATTCACTCCAACGGGCTTGTCAGAGATAAAACTGGACAGCCGTGTGGTTGTCTTCCGCCCTCCATGAGCTCCCCACACCAACGGGAAGATTAGACGAGTAACATGGCTGCATTTTTTGGTTTAAAAAGTCATCACTGTGGTGAGTATCGGATGGTCCTGAGCTTGTAGGTAGGTGGGCCGGATGTGGTTAAACCGGTTAAGAGGGTGTGGAGGACTCAGACAATTATGAGCAGGCAAGGAGAGTCCAGATCTAAGGGGAAGACTGGACATGGAGACAGGTAGGAATGGGAGGTGCTGATGGTGGCTCAGAGGTTCCTAGCATGGGCAAGCAGAGAACACAAGGCTGTCAGTTCTCTCTTTCTACCACGCAGGCCCCAAGGGGCAAACAGCAAGTCAACAGAGCATGCCAGCAAGCATTGTCACCTGCTGAGCCATCTCCCTGGCCCGCTTCACTTTAGTGTTTTAAGACAGGGGGTGTCTTAAACACTGTGACATGAACACAAGACATGAAGACATGACACAAACCGGCGCATCTGACGAGAGACTCTCTCGGTAGAGGCATCGGCGTCACCAGATAGTCCTGCGGGCAAGTTTGTGGGCATTTTTCTTTCTTTAAAGGTTTTTTTTTAAGATTTATTTTATTTTATGCATATGAATGTCTTGCCTGCATGTATGTAAGTGTACCATGTGCATGTCTGCAAGAGGGTCTTGGATCCCCTGGAACTAGAGTGACAGAACTGTGAGCCACCCTATTGGTTGAATTGAACCAGGGTTGCCTTGTTTGTTTGTTTTTTAATACAGGTCTCTCTATCTAGCTATGGCTGCCTTAGAACTGTCTCTGTAGCCCAGGATGGCCTTGAACTCACAGAGATCCACCTGCCTCCCAAGTGCTGGATTAATGCTCTTGATTGCTGAGCCATCTCTTAAGATTGATGTGAGAGGGGCCAGCACACTGGGCCTGGCTTTTTACATGGGTGCTGGGGGTCCCGACTCAGGGCCGGCTTTCCCCCACTCTTATCTTGTGCCATGCACCTGCTGCCCCTTAGAATGTCCTTACTGTAAGGCCGTGCTTCCTCCCACCCCGACCGGGCTGCTGCTCACTCTCCCCTCTGTCTATATCACTAATTCTTATTTACTCTCCGAAGTGCAATTCAGGGAAACCTGCGGCTGGCCCCTCTACCTTAGCCAGCTTCCTTTTCCTCATTGCTTTTCATCTCATTTAGGAATTGTAAATACTGGGCTGGTTCCAGGATTTAATGAGCATCTCTCTCGGTGTGTAGACTCTGTGCCCGGAGACTGTTTGCTTACCATTGTCTCCTAGTGTTTCGTGTTGAATAAGTGAATGACTGTTGGTGCCACGGCAATAGTAAGGGGCTCCTTCACCACCACAGCCACAGCTGCATACTGGGGACACTGTGGATCCCAGCTCTGCCTCTTGCTTCCTGGGGATGTTGCAGAGGAAGGAGCATCCAGCAGATTGCACAGCCTCTGGCGGCAGAGAGGCTTGGGCCTGCTGTGCTGCTATTGTTGCGGGCCAACTGTGACTCTTAGGCAAGACCCTTCTCCTCTTTGGATTTCAGTTTCTTGATCTCTGATGGCAGATCCACTCTTACCTCTTTAGAGATTTGGTTTGGAGCTGGAGAGACGCTCAGCAGTTATAAACACATGTTTGCAGAGTGCCTGAGCTTGGTCACAAGCATCCACTC